AATTAATGTAATCTCTTCCACTAGTAGGTGAGTGTATATGAAATACTAAATTGCTTCCACTGGGTGGCATTGCAAAACAAAGTATGACATACAAGCATGTAACGTTCCATGCCTCAATACGTTGATATAGTTATTTTACATGTTTTCCAGTATTGTAAAGTTGTTTTGATGTATTCAGTAAAATATCTAAAAATTGAGGGGGGGGATGTTCTCACCCTTTTTCTGTGCTTTTTTTTTTCCTCAGTTCTGCTTTACAGTGCTTGGTGGCAGATGTAAGACTTCATTATTCGTTTAAAGTAGAAGTCCTTTGATAGTGTTCTTTATTCAGAGGAGATTTTTTTTTTTTTTTGCAGTGCCTAGTAATAATTATAGTAAGATCCAGTTAAGTTAGGGACATCTTACTCCTTCTGTTGATTCTTATGAGTTGCTTTGTATTTAGTGCTTTTGCATTGAAGTAAAGGCGGTGTGAGTGAAAATCTTTGCTTAATTATCTTTGAACTGTTTTGAGTCAAATTACTTTTTTAAGCATGGAGCTGGAGATAAATACAATTCTAGAGAAGTGGCATAATTTTCTTTCTACTAGTCTGAAATATCCCACCTAAGTAGGGTTGTTGGGAAATAATATTGAAAACTGAGATTTAATTTATATGCTGTGTATATTTGCTCTCTTTTCTTGTGTGACAGGGTATGAATCAATGTGCCTGGGTTTTAGTAGTGCAGATTTATTTATCATAAACTTGAAGGACACCATGTAACATTTTGTTGAATAATTGTCATTAACTGCTGCTTGTTAATTGAACCCAAAAAGCTGAAGCTAGTGAAATAATCTGGCTCTTAAAAAACCAACCAACCAACCAAAAACCTCAAAACAAAATCAAAATAAACCCCACAACCACAAACCAAACAACAACAAAAAATCAGCAAAAAATCCTGACCAAGCAACCAACGAAAAAAACACGAAATTATGTGACTGAATAAGGTGATGATCTGGTTGAAGTAGTTCTTCTTTGCTCTTTATATTAACTTGTCTTTTTCTGAATTTACTTTATTAAAAGTCTTCATTTCTTCTCCCTTTTGTCCATAATTTTTCTGCACTCAGCTCTGTTGGTTTTCTGCTCATTTTTCCAAGGACCATCAAGCAAACTTGAACCTTGTAGCTGTTGAAAGGAAAGAATGAACTTCATCCTAGTGTAAAAACTCCTGTAAACTATCTGAGCACATGGTATGTGATAGCAGATGGCATTTGTGCACACATTTCATTTGATCATAGAGTAGATTTCAATTAATCGAGGATGGGATAGTTGCTCTGATTACTTCTTGGCAGAGAGCTATATATACAGGACACGTTCTGCAAGCAATTGATAACCTTATTTGAAGTGTTTCATGACAGTATGGTACACATTTGTTTGATTTCCTGGTTTAAAGTAACCTACAGATTGTATAGTTTCTGCCCTTAGTTTATGAAGAATTAATTACGTATTGTAATTATGCAAAAGATTTTCATCTTCTGTTCCCGACCCCTTATTATTCAGGGTTTGTCAGAAGTGCAAGCTGAAAAACTCAAGGACAGAGAATGTATTCATGTTCTTCCAGCTTTTATAAAGCTTAACGCCGTACAGTCAGCTAATCAATAGTGTATTGTTCCAAGAATTTTTTGAAAGGTTTTACATTTGCTTTAGGAAGCATCTAGTTTGTACTGTTTTCACCATTTGTATATGTTCAAGTTACAGTTCTGACAGTAGCAACTTGTCTAGGGGGGCAGAGGGGGAGAAGTGGAGGAAGGAAGCATTACAAAATAAGACAATTTCAGGGTTTCTGTGCTAAAAAAGGTTTATGTGCTTCCACATGTGTATTCTAATTTCAGAAGATCACTTAATGTAGCTATACAGGATGTAGATGACATATACTTGGTTTCACTGAAAAGAATTATCCTGGATTATATTTGTTTTTGTCTTTGCAGAATATTCACATACTCTCTTGTCTTGTTGGGAAAAATATCTCTGTGATAAAGCTTGATTGTACAAACAGATTGAAAACACGTTTTCACAACACATCCTTCTAAATTCTTTTACAGTGTAATTTACTGTAAAATACTCTAATTAGTTAAAGTAGAAATTGGAATGGGTAGCAGTCTTTCCCATTATGACACGTGTATTTTCATCTCCCTCCTTTGTTGATATTCTAGCTTTTTTTGAAGGGCCATGGCTTGGGGAGCAGTAATTTGTTAGTTGCAGAGGTACTGAAATCCCTCCTGCCTGGTGAATATGAATAATGATTTGAGCTGAGTGGAGTTAATGCTGTTGGTTTGCAAATATCAACGGTGATTAGAAGACTTAATTGCTAATTATACTGTCATTTCGCAAGCATTTTGTATAGTATGACTCAATTTTTTTCTTAATTGGACGGTATATTCTTGCATAGTTTCCTATAGCCACTTTTATGTTAATAGCCAGTGTCTCTAATGGGGTCATCTGTGAGCCATCTAGTGACTATCTGATTGATGGTGTTGTGGTAGCTGTGCAGTGGCACTGGTTGCACTGCAAAATGATCTACTGTTCACAGTAATTGGCGTTCTGACAGAGGAGAACAGACTACTGCTTCTTCAGTAGGTTTTAGGTAGATGCTGAAAAAGAGTTTTAGAAATCTAAGATGAGGACTGCTGCGTGGAGTTGTGAATGGTCCCTATTACGGGGGTGGATGGAAGTGAAATACTGGAAATAGCTTTGCTCTGCTTCTCAGCTGAAAAGAGAAGAAAGTGGAAGCTGAAAATGTAGGAACTAAAATAACTTGCTATGAGAAGAATTAGCCTTGAGGTGCTTTCCCCATATGCTGGGTTTGAAGGCTATTCATTGTGGGCTGACAGAGTTTACTTACAACTTTCTAAAGAATTTTGCTTGTGTGAACTTTGAGACAAACTTCCTGCAGGGAAGCTAAGGATCGTGGAATGAGTGTACTGGAGTTCCAGTCTGTCCGAGACTGTTTGTGAAAGGATGGACTACACCTCTGCAAATGTCTTTGCTAAAACATGAGGATTTTCTGTATTTTGAGATGTTTGGACTACAGCTGCTTGATCTCTGTGTAGGTATGGAATAAAGAGCTGCAACTAGTTTAAATAAAAATGTGGTTCGTCTTAGGAAGATAACCCCAGTTCTGATTACTGGTAGCTGGGGAGAGGTTTACTGTTCGGAAGAATCTTGCTCAAGTGGGTAACTGTAGGTAGCCTGCTTCTTGCCTGGAAGAAGGTACCATTGCAGCGAACAGCCATTCTTTGCAGCCTCATTCAGGTAGAAAAAGCTTGGTCTGAAATTTTCATGGTAACTTGGACATTTCTCAAGATTTCAGCCGCTGTGGGAGTGCTAGGAACCTAGGATTTTTGGGGTTTTTTTGTAATGACTGTGTACTAATTGTGCTTTGTACTGTTTTAGTGTTTTGCCTTGCAAGTGTTGATAGCTTGGTTCAGAATTTAAGACTATGAAGTCTGTGTAGTTAGATGGGATGTTTCTTTTAGCTGTTGTTTTACTGGAGTTACTGTAGAGCAGAATTTTTTCCCCTTACTGCAAAACCATGTACATAGTGTTTGTGCTCCTCCCAAGCAGACTTAAAAGTAGGTTATACGTAGTTGTTACATGTGTATTTCATCTTGTGAGGGTTATTGACAAATTTGATCTCAACACATACTGGGAAGAGACAATGGAGGTGTATTGGGTTTGTGTGGCCAGGTTTTGGTAGCGCAGGGGGGGCTGTAGAGGTGGCTTCTGTGAGGAGCTGCGAGAAGCTTCCCCTGTGTCTGATGGAGCCAATGCCAGCTGGCTCCAGGACGGACGGGCCGCTGGCCCAGGGCACACCCATCAAGGAT